TTTGATATAGCATGGTGGGTTGTTTGATTTAACTAAGGTACGTATCTAAAGAAAGAAAGAAAGGATATTTATGCGGCACACTCAATTTTATTATAAGCGAGATAAGCGTTTTTTTCCATTACAGGTCTGTCTGTCAAAAGTCTAGGGAGCCCGGGATTCTAATTATGTCACTAAAACTAAAACTGATGCAATAGTAGCAATAACAAATCCTACAAAATCAAAAAACTTACTATAATTCAACCATTTTTTACCTCAAATTCCTATCAACACAAGATACCATATTTCACACTATCACACATAACACTTCATTTTCCCTTCAACATAACCTATCATGAAGTAAAAACCACTGATTGATCATCTTCTACTAAAACAAACCGCTTATCAAGTCTTCAAGCTGTTCAATAAGTTTTTGTGACATCTCTATAAGATTGATAATGCTGGCAGCTGTGCAGATATATCTTGTTGAAGTTTTTCTGGTTTGTAATAAATTGTGTGGCTTATTTTTTAGGTCATATGGTTGAAAATTGTGTTTGAACGAGCTTAGTAAGATATGTAATGTAGTGTACAGTCTTTTTTTAATTACAAGATGTCTAGATAACCGCTCTTTTGAATTTAGAATGTAACTTTTGAACTGTCACATAAGTATATTGGGTACAATATTATAATAGGGTAGATACCTAATTCTTATTTTAATGTCCGTCTGGTAGATTATTTCAAATCATTAGACACGTATTTTTTATTGACTTACAGAAACGAATACTTTCGACGATATATTGATTTGAAATGTCGCGTGACGTCACTTCTATGTACATTTTATACGTAGAAATGACGTTTTAGCCCCCACTCCTAAACATTTTATCTAAGTACCTATTGGAAAAATATGTGTCTAATATTTTTTAATTACCTAACTTACGGACTAATTATATTTTTAATTTTCATACCCTGTCATTCTCTTGTCAGTCTTTTTAGTGCTAAGCAAAATGTAATCTAATTATGTAATGTACTTACTCCTTGTGAAGTACAGTTTTTGCCCATCGAACACAAACCTTCTTACGAAGTTACACAGTTCTTTTTAGTATGCACATGTTTGCATACTATTTTAAAACCATTACAGCCTCTTTTGTTACATGTTGTCCAATTCTCCATTAGAGGGCAACGTATTTATAAAGAGGAGAGACATAATTCACCAACAGTACCTAAATATTAGCTAAAACATATAATTTAAAAAGAATTTTTGTACTCTATCAAAGCTAAATTATTTTCCAGCACAATTTTTATCACTTTTAAAAACCTTTAACACAGTTTTTATGATAAAACGCTCTAAACCATTCTGCCGGGTAAAATATAAGGCAAGTGCATAAAACTCCAGGGACTTACAAATACGTCGACAAAAGACAAATTGCATATGTTCAAAGTCCCCTTACTATAGGTTCTCATATTCTTTGTGCAATTTTTTTTTGGCATAAGCCGGTAAACGAGCGGACGGATCACCTGATGGTAAGCAATCGGCGTCGCCCATGGACACCTGGAACACCAGAGGCGTTACAAGTGCGTTACCGGCCTTTTGGGGATTAGGAGTTTGAGGATCGTTGGGGATTCAGGGATTGGGGAGATTGGGGAAGTGGGGAGTGAGCTGGGCCTCCGGTAACCTCACTCACACGACGAAACACAACGCAAGCTTCACGTCGGTTTTCCGTGAGGCCACTATCACTCCGGTCGAGCCGGCCCATTCGTGCCGAAACATGGCTCTCCCACAAGAACTCGCTTTATTTCTTTACTAGCCTCTACCCAAGGCTTTGCTTGCATCCCCGTGGCGTAAAAATTACTATGTCTTATTCAATACTACAATTTATCCTTGTTCCGAATTTGAACCCGTTCCTTACAGTCGTACGTTGACGTGATTGAGTACCACACACACAACAAACTCACAAATTTTTACTGCATTTATAATATCACTAAGATAAAATAGACATAAGCTATAAAACTCATAATTCCTTCAAAGAGACAGTACCAATAAATTATTGTATACAGATTAGCATGATAACAATGTATTGAGTTAACGCCTCGCTGCCTTCTAAACCGCGGTTAATTGAAGTTAATGGACTAATCCGTTGCTGTGTTTAGCTTCACTGATTACCGTGTTCAGTTACTTGGATGGGATACATGCGCATAATAAATAAATATGTGTAAATTATATTTTATTTTTTGATAAAAGATTAATGTTTAAATATACATATTTTTATCGGTTATGTTGATAATTCTTCTGAATCCGAGTCATTGCCGATGCAACTAACTACAACAAGCAATGAGCGTCGGGATCAATTTACGTATGCGTCTAAGACTATGGGATTTTGTTTAGTCTTTCGACAGTTTCTCAATAATAGTACAAAATCTAGAATTTTCTTTTATACTTTCTACTTAACCTCGTGAGATAATATAGGTGTGAAATTATTACCACAACATACCCTATCCAACATACCCTTTGCCACTTCTTTTATGGAATAAGCCCGCCACGACCCCCCAAAACCGCTACAACTCCTGTAAACCAGGTTCTACAGTAGACATCCAGCGCGTCCTGGAGGCATGAATAACTTAAATCCCGCAACAAAATAAATCAGAAGATATAATTAGAGGAGAAGAAAACAAAGATAGGTTTGCCACTGCAAAAGACAGAAAAGATCAAACATTAGAAATAAATACACACACTTTCGAGATTAAATTTTAAAATCCCCAGCTATCGTGAGAACCAATAGTAACTGCTCGAACATTCTCCATATAAGTGGCTTGGAAAGCACTCTGCGCTTTTAAAGTGACGATGCATTTCTTTAACCGCAGCTATTCCTACGTATTGACTGTTGCTGTTAATATTGGAAATGTTATGGGTTAGGGAATTGAGGGCGACGTTTGTTTAAGTGATTCGTGGATTGCGGGGATTTTGTTATAGAAAGTATTATTTGTACAGTCACCGATTCATGGTAGATGTCGCTTCGCATGAAGCTTCCTTGTGATAAGGAGGGGAATTCTTTGCCAGAGTCTGTATTTCCTGAAGGGTATCTGGGTGTCTTCAAGGCCCAAGTGAATAGGTTGCTTATGGGACGACGTGCTCCATTGTAGACCGCATGATCGTTTACCACCAGGCGAGATAGTGGTCAAACGTCGGCCCATTAGATATAAAAAAAAATGTGAAGAGAGAATAAAGAAGTGATTGATACAAAGAGTATAATAATTATAAGAGATTGATTTAAAAGTATTGTCATGGTTTTGATACTCATTCCAAAAAGGTGTTTTAAGTATCTGGTTTATATATTGTCCTCTTTTCTACAATTTTGTTAAAAATCCTAAAAACCAATTCTTCACCTCAAGGAGTTGCATGATTTGGATCATATCATTTTTACCAGTTGAAAACTTGACACCAAATTCATATTAAATTTAGATTTTGTGCTTTTTCTAAGAAACCGACAAAACAAATCAGGCCAACCTAGGCTTTGGGCTTCAGATCAAGGTGTCTGAAGTTCATTGCGTAACGATATAATATGTATACAAAATTTGAAAAAAAAATAACATACGACATTATATCGTCCACATTCCCAAGAGATACAACAAAAAACAATACATGAAGCTGTAACACAATCATGTGACGTTTGAAAATATGAAGTCTGGGTCAGATAACAATTTTGAGGAAAAGAAAGTACAAAAACATCAAAAATAATTCGATTCGCAAATGACGTACAATTTATGGGAAACTGAACTTTGATTGGACTTCTATAAACTTTAATTTGCAACATTCTAGAATCTTCCTTGAACTCGTCAAGCTAATTTGTTCTAGATTCACAATAACCCATCAATTCATGGACAATTGCTATGAGAATGCGTTTTCAAGAAACTAGTTAGAACATTAACCACAGTTAGAAAATTAACCAATCATAAATTTGTCGTTTATGAAGTTTTCAAAGTCCTATCTGCGTCCTTCTCTAACTTTCGTGAAAGAGAGAGACGGAGAATGGGGAAATTGGCGGTTAATATCGAAGATATTGCAGGTCTTGGTTGGACAATTTGTGCAAAGTTTGTGGAGTAATGCTGCGTTCACATTGGTGGCCTTAAAATTAAAAATATTGGATTTACAAAATTATTTGTTAAAGATTTTTGCGTACATTTCAAGAGTATACAATAATAATAATAATTCATTGTACTTATCATTACCAATTATATTTTAAGGATGAAAGAACCTACGTATATGACGAAAGATTTGGAATCGAAATATCAACAAAATCCACCTGACGCAAGAACATTGTTGAAAGTTACAACTTTTTAAACTACAAAGCAATGTAATCTACACCGCTCTTGAGAATTCCATACATATATATACAAGTTGAAAATATTATGAAAGCTATTTGAAATTGTATGGAAATGGGTATATTGAGGAGCTCCGTATAAATTCGTATAACCTCGTAGTTTAAGAATAAATGGCTAAAGTGTTCGAACACGATATTGCCTGTGGGAATCTTTTGTAAAACATGAATCGACCCGGAGCTATAAGAGAAAACATTGAAGACAAGAAAAATAAACAATATTCTTTTTACAAGGGAACACACTATCTACTGCCTTTGAAGGATTGTATAAAAAATAATTATAGTCTTTCTTCCGTTTGTTCAAAACTAATTAATGCAACATTAGAGTATAATATTTTTTTAGGATAAAAGAAAAAAAAGATTACTGAGAACTTATTTTTCCTCACATTTGTCCAAGAATACCATCGACTGCTTTCTTTTTCAAAAAAATTCAAAAATACAATTCACAATATTCTTCATAATAAAATCTAGACGATCCAGAATTGAATCATCTGAAAATTTCCATCAAAGAACATCTGCTTAGGTTAGAAACGACAATTTTCCTTATTCATTCATGGCAGAAGTAGGACCACACAATACGGAGCATTCAACAACATATTGTGTCCGTGCCATTACGTTCATTACAAACAAGCACTAGTGGTCATTTGCAAAATGGTGCTCTCCGGACTAGAACGTTTTTATCTAATAGACGATGGCTTCTTTTCATTCAACATTAAATACCTCTTCTTTGTTGGTTTATGGCCCGAAAAAACACTTACAAGGAACCAGAAATTTCTCTACAAAATCTATGAACTATTCATCCACGCTATTACCATTATTTTCCTAATTATGGCTGGTGTTGGGACGTATCAAAATAAAGATGATATACTGATTGTTTTGTCTAATTTGGACAAGTCCTTGGTTGTGTACAACTTCTTTTTCAAAACGATAATATTTCTTATAAAGAGGGATCAGTTGAGCGACCTGATTGATGAAATAGAGGCATCAGGGGATGAAGTAACGAAAGAAAGAAAGAAGTTGATGGCAAACTATGTGATGGCTGTAACTGGTATGACTGCTGCGGTGGTCAGTACATTTAGCCTTTTGGCTCTGTTAGAAGGAATTATGTCCATAGAAGCATGGATGCCATTTGACCCAGTGAAAAATTCGATGAACTTAGTACTATCGCTGCAGATTATTGCTTTTTGTGTGTTCCCTGGACTCTGCAGAGCGTTTGCAATGCAAGGGTTAGTCTGCAGCATGATAATGTACTTATGTGATCAGTTAATACACTTGCAGAAAGAGCTAAGGAGTTTAGATTATGTGAAAGATACTGAAATGATAACGAGAATGAAGTTCAAGATGATTATAAAGAAGCATATTCGTTTGATGGGGTAAGTATAAAATCACTTTTAATTTTGCATTATGTTTCATTGAGTGAGGAATTCATAATTTCCCCAATCCCCAAATTCCCAACAATCCTCAAAAGGCCGATAACGCACTTGTAACACCTCTGGTGTTTCGGGTGTCCATGGGCGCGGCCGATTGCTTACCATTAGGTGATCCGTCTGCTCGTTTACCGACTATTTCCATAAAAAAACTTCGACATGAACAATTAATGATTAAATTTGATCTTAAGTAACAAGAACCTGTTCAACTGAAAGTTAATTTCGACAATTTGTTGCAGCTATTCAATGAAAATGGAGAGTATCTTCAATGAATATTTCCTAGTGCAAAACTTGGCTGTTACTGTTGAACTATGTTTGAATGCGGTTATGGTGAGCATAGTAAGTTTTTACTGTAAATAAAATTAAAATTTAATATTTATCATCACCAAAAGCCGGTCCACCACTGCACAATGAACCTTCTTTACATACAGCCTTGTATGTAAAGAAGATTCATTATGGCACAATCTTCAAACTTAAAGACGAGTTGGAAATCTCAATTTAAAATACTCAAGTATGTATGCCTCGTTGGCCGAGTGGTCGCAAGTGCAACTGTCCGGCAAGGGGTCTCGGGTTCCATTCCCGGGTCGGGCAAAGTATTTTTGGGATTAAAAAAAAATCTCGGCAGTAGTATGGAGTCTGGAATTGTGGCCGATATATGGAAATAGCCTCATTCCCTATTACATGGGGCTCATGACATAAATAGTGAAAAGTGGGTGCAACATTATATAGTGGCATTAATGTTCACCTCTGCCTACCCCTTCGGGGATAAACGCGTGATGTTATATTAGAGAATGCAACCCCATCTCTATTAGATGTCCCTTAGTCGGATTATATGACATTTGCAACTATCAGATTTGACCTAATTACTCAAGATTTCAAATTGTAAATGATTTCCGACCTAAGAATTGAATAACTCATAGGTACTTATACTCGACCAGAAACCTTATGAAAGCTACTATGTATTCAAACGCCTTCAACATTGTTTACATGTTGACAAACTCTGCTTGTTGTCGTTCCGAGATTTATGTTTAGTGTTGTCTTTCATAACATACACATTTACACATAAATATGTAAGTAGCTTATGTATGTTTGTATAACTCGGGTGGCGCCGTCAATCATCTTTAATTTTGGTTGCTGTATCAGAAGATTTTCTTTTTAAACTTTGCCCTGCAGTAGTATTTTTTCCTGTGACATGGGTGCGTTTACAAACATACAAGTTCACATGACACTCAGACACGGAGCAACAATTTGTGAATCAACCAAAAGAGTTGGTCCGGCCATCGGCCAAAAGAGTTGGCAGCCAGTTGCCCATTCACCGCACCTTATCAAATTCTGTTTTTTGTTTTACCATCAGCACTAATGTGACTTTTTCCAGGAAATATGTATTATTTAAACACCATTGACAAACGTTTTTATAATGACTATTGTAACACATACTAAATTAACTAAAAATCGCGGGTTACACACTTGAATATACTGAGTAGGCTGCGCGACATCGGCGCGACATCGCACTGCTCATGGGGAAGAGCTTCTCTGTGACTTGAAACTAGTAAAACTTTTCTCGGTACATTCACGTGAGTAACTCGCGTTTTTTAGTATACCATTGACAAACGGGTGAAGGAAAACATCGTGAGGAAACCTGGGCTTATAATTTCTAATTATAAGTTTGAAATCGCCAACTCGCATTGAGCAAGCGTTTGATTAATGCTCAAACCTTCTCAGAAGAGGAATTCGTCAGCAGTGGCCACTTATGTTGATATGATGTGATCAGTACCAACAGGTGGACTATGGGGTTCAGCTATATGTATAAGAAAGTTAACCATAACCTTCACTCTTAGAAGACGGGTTAGAGATTACAGTTTAAAAAGTTTAGGTTTATCAGAAAACACTGCTGCCCAACCTTTTTTTGGAATAAGCTGGTAAACGAGCAGATGTACAACCTGATGGTAAGCAATAGACGCCGCCCATGGACACTCGACACACCAAAGGTGTTACAAGGCCTTTTGGGGATTAGGAATTTGAATATTTAAACACAACGCATGTGTTGCTTCACGTTGGTTTTCAGTGAGGCCGTGATATCACTCCGGTTGAGCCGGCCCATTCGTGCGGAAGCATGGTTCTCCCACACTACCATACGTCTATTAAGTATGTGGTTCATTAGTCAGCTGTTACAATACGCATGGACAGAGCATGGGTGGTGAAAGTCAAAGCATTTAGCTAGGCGCTAAGCTGGTGACAAAAGTATTCTGTAGTCTGCCACAATTCAAACAGTTTATTTAAATTCTCTTCTACCACAGGTCGGCGTACAACAAATAACTCTGCTATTCACCTTCCTAGCATACCTAGTACTTGCACTAATTAATGCCTACGTCTACTGCTATCTGGGTAACGAGTTGATTATACAAGTAAGTGGAATTTCATTGAAATGGTTGAAAGCGGTACTTTAATTTTAAATGTGAAGAATGAATGTTTGAGGAATGACAGAATACACTGTGAAAATGTTCTAGTGGAGAATGCTATGCAATTAAAATAGGACTAAATTGAACTAAAAGTTGTTCTTGCTTCTTGATTGGGTCATCGTTATTTTAGATTCTTTGAGTAAAAGTATTGATAAGTTTATGTATTTTTGTTATTATCCGAGATATTGGATTTAAATTCTGAGCTTTGTAGCAATGTGGTCAATAGAAATTCCTCTGCACTAACTTTATATTGCATTTTTCAAAAAGACACTAAAAATAAAAAATGTATTTAACTGAAGCGGAGTAATGACCAACATATGCCTTAGCATAACACATATTATACTTCTACATACGAACATTATACTTTTTACCTCCTAATCTCCTATGTTCCCATATTAATCTCCTTATTACTTGCACCGCGTTTGGAGGGGAAAGCAAAAGGAAATATGAAAAATGCCAAGTAGGATCTTTTGCGGTTCAAGGAAGATTTTTCTTTTGATTAGATTATTTAATAAACTTGCAGTTATTTGTAACTAGCTTTTGCCCGCGACTTCGTACGCGCAATCCCGTTCTTTCCCGTTCCCGTTCGAGATTTTCGGTAAAAAGTAAAAAAAAATTCGATGAAAAAGTATCCTATGTCCGTCTCCTGGTTCTAATCTACCTCCCCACCAATTGTCATCCAAATCGATGTAGCCGTTCTAGAGTTATAAGTAGTGTAACTAACACAACTTTCTTTTATATAAATAGATATTAACTTTACCTTCAGCTGCTTTAAGATGTAGTTTATTAAGGGTATTCTAAAGTATATTACAACTAGCTTCTGCCAGCGGTTTCACCCGCGATTCCTTTAGATAAAAAGTCTATGTGTTCGTCCACACCGTAATCTGCCTCTGTTCCAAATTTCACCTCAATTCCTTCAGCCATTTTGACGTGAAGAAGTATCGAAACAAGCAAACTTTCGCATTTATAATTCTAGTAGGATGTTATGAAACCAATATTCTAACTGGTAGAACTGATGTACAATTTTATGTGACGTGCTTTTGTGAATACCGCTGACAGAGGCGAACGAGACAAATTTTTAGATTTGTTCATTATCAGATAAATTTTAACTGATAAATAACGTTGAATATTCGACAATTCTTCCATACTAGAAACTGTCAAGTGTGAATTTTATACTACAATTGGGTACTTGCATTAGCAAGTACAAGTAAAATTGACTAATTATAGTCAATTTTTTTTCAAACCGTCAAAACGACAGCTTTCAATGAATTTTGTATGAGATTGTGTATTGTGACGTCACGTTTTGTTCACGTCAAACTGCATACTTATTTTTTTAAAACAGTTTTTATATGAACAGTACATTTTACAGAGTGAAGGCATTGCTCTGGCAGCCTACGAGTCTACCTGGACTTCTTGGCCAGTAGACCTTCAGAAAGATCTGATGATACTCATCAATGCTTCTCAAAGACCTTTGAAATTGAGTGCTGGTGGCATAGCGTTACTCTCAATACAGACCTTTAGCCAGGTAAGGACTTGTTCGAATGTTAAACCATTTTAGACATGTTTTAATCACTATCGTGAGACATACTAAATTAACTAAAATCGCGGGTTACTCACGTGAATGAGGAAGAACCCTTCTGTGTTTCGAAACTAGTAGAGCTTGTCTCAGTATATTCACGTGAGAAACCCGCGATTTTAGTTAATGTTTTAATCATTTGATATATCATACCGAAAATTCTTAATTTTTTCATACATAATTAGTCTATAAACAGCGGAAATAAGGTCTATAATGGAGTGAGTGGAGAGCGGTCACCGGTGACCGTTTGGGGTCATTGATCAATACATTGTAGTAACATAACATCACGCCTTTTTATCCCCGAAGAGGTAGGCTGAGGTGCACATTACGGCACTTAATGCCACTGTACAATGATGTAACACCCACATTTCACTTTTAATGTTATGAGTCCCATGTAATAGGGGGTGAGCCTATTGCCATATACCGGGCACAATTCCAGGTTTCGTGCTATACTACTGAGATTTTTTTTAAAACCCAGTAATACTTTGCCCGACCTGGGAATTAAACCCGAGACCCCTTGCCCGGCAGTCGCACTTGCGACCACTCGGCCAACGAGGCAGTACATTGTAGTATTTCCTAAAAATTATACTATTGTACAGGAAAAATAAACATTTGGTTTACTAGAAACTAGAGATACTATAATCAATTTTTACCAGTTCTCCATGACTATCTGCCGCTGCCATAACAAAACACACTAAACATACACAAGTACAAGATATTTCGAAGATAGGAAGACTCAGTGCTAGCTACAAATTATCAAGAACAGTCAGAAAGAAAAATTCAAATTCACAACACCATTGTTCATGATCAAAGCAATCTCACAATATGATGAACATCCCAAAATCATTATCTTTAATGCACTAATTACTGAGAGATTATATAAATACTAATTTCCACTACTAACCAAACCTGTCAACAGCAGAGATGAACAAAAACTACTTCTATTTCCATCTCACAGAGTTTTTTATTAAACGATGCGGTTATCTGTAAACTGCTGAGTTTAATGTTTTCATTTCTAATTTAAAAGTTTCAAATGTAAAACTCGATGTCGTTGAATGGGTATAGTGTTTTAAAATGTATGTTTGTTTGCATGTCGTTTTGGTGTTAACAGCTGAAAGTTTGTTTTAATGAATTTTTATAATGAGAAATGTAACTATAGTAGGCATTAGATAAAAGATGTTTTTAAACCTATTTTTAGGTTACTTTTCTTACAACTATATTTTTTATGAATGATTTTTAATAATTAGAAAACGAAACATTAAATGAAGAATTTTAAACAAATCTTTTTAATTAATCTTTATGTTTTCGGCTTACTGACGTAACTGTTTGAGGAAGAACTCGACTAGTTTCAAGCCGTGCTAGAGGTTCATATTTATAAGCACCATTCCGCGCATTTGACGCGCTGCTACGGTACGTGAGTAAGCCGAAAACATCATAATTAATTTAGTATGTCCCACGAAAGTTTTAATATAAATCTTTTGACTTAGTGATTTGACGTTTGACTTTCACAGTTTAATTTACACTGAACACGGTACTGAACAAGGTACTAAATTGTAATAGGTAATAGAAGTTAAACTAGGTACTATTTACCTGCAAAATAATACTAAAATCTCTACAAAAAATCAAATACCAGTCATACAGCATCTTATCAAGCTACCTATTCTATCCAAGTTCTTCAATTGACTTTCGGCTTTAAAACAAAAATGAAACGGTTCAATATGAGATGGGACTGAATAGGTTAACTTAATGTGCTAGCATCTGTCTGTACCATTTTTGTATAATTAATTGGCTGCGAGCGGAACCGAGTTCTTTTCAAGTAACTCCTAATGAGGTATTTGCAAAAATATAAAGCCCATAAGTACGTTTCTAAATAAGGTCAGGGATACACTGAGCCAAATGTTTTCCAACCTAACTTTTTCACAACTGATATGGCGTCAGAAGTGAGGGAATTTAACACTTTAATTTTCCATAAAAGAACAGCTAAGGAGTGAAATTTCTTGGCAGCGTTATTGTTTACGGAAGTATACAATTTGAGTGTGTTCAAATTAAGCCTTAATAGTTTACTTATAAGCAACGATGCCTTACATGAACACGGCGAGAGAGGCGTACTTTATCGTTACTCTACTACCACTATATGACGTAGTAGTAGTGATAAATGATACATTATCATTTATCACTACGTCATATAGTGGCCCAACATCGACTTATAAAAATTATAAAATCTTATAAATTATATAAAAAATAATATTAGCGTAATTTTACCATGTAGCTGGCAATTCGTAACGTAGGAATGTGGTATCTCAGTGTATCCCTAACCTTATTTATTATTTTTATAAATGATGGCTTTAGATTAATTCTCGTTAAGTACATTCGAAGTAAATTACTGAGGCTGAATAATGGATGGATGTGCTGCGAGCCTGTGAGTGACATCGAGTGTTTTGGACTTGTTTTGTTTTTACGATTTCTTTATTATAAACGTTTTATATCCCTTGCTGCAGAAGATTTTGTTGCTGAACTCCTGGCACCTCTTAATTAGAATAAAAGGCGTTATTTTGTCATATCTGTACATATAATAAAATCGTAGAAAATTCAAAATTGTACACTGAATGTTTTTTTTAAAAGAATACGTGGGGCGTGATCTGTAATGAATTTACTTCAAATTTTGCGGGAATATTACTAACAGGTCGGATCAACATACAGGTTAATCGCCTACGGGACTGAATCAATTCTAACGACATTCATTACTGTAGAATATTCCTTGATAAAAACTAATTCAAAAGCCTAAATAAAATTCTGCCAGAAGTCATTATTCTGCGCGGACGAAGTCGCGGGCAACAGCTCGTCTATATCTATATCTATATTTATAAATAAAAATGAATTTCCATACGTTAGTCTCGTAAAAACTCGGAAATGCCTGATCAGATTTAGCAAATATTGATTTTGAAATGTTCGTATAAGTCCGGGTAATGTTTAAAAGGTGAGAAAAAAAATTTTTAGGCGGTACGAAATTCGCCGGGTCAGTTAGTCTATATATAATGTACCAAGAACGATATACCTTTGTAAGGCCTTATATTATGTACCTACATTCAATAAGATATTATATATGCAAATAAATTATTATATATAATGCGCCATGTGCTAATAGGCCTTATACCATTTAGAGTTTCACAATAACATATTCTAGTAAACAGTTATACTAGTGTGTACAACGTTATTTCCGACTTAGCTGTCCAATGTAATTGACATTAGCTACTGTGATTGAAATCGGTTGAGAGTCATTATGTCAGCTTAACGCCCTTCTGGCTATGTAGTAAGTAATCGTTCGAGTGATTTGTCTTGATACCATTGTGTATATGTAGGTAGTAAGAAAATGATTTTTTGTCTAGAAAAATGTCTACTGAAGTCAAGTAATGGTCTTTTTGCTTTCGCGCCCGGGTCCAATTTTTGGGTTGGACCAAAATAATATTGGGTTATTTTACCGTATGTGTGTGTGTGTATTATTTTATAATTTCATTTACGCTTTTGACTCTCAATGTTAGATCGAAACGTGATTCACAATGATCACATGAATTAATTTGTGGCCCTGAAAAGGGCCTTTTGTCTTTTATTCCGTCATCCTGCGTGTATGAGTAGAGCGCGTGTAGGTTGTAGTTGTTGTAGTTGTACGCATGCCGTTTACACACAGACAATACGCAATAAGTTATCAACCTTCAATTAAATAGAACCATTTTATAACTAAAAATACAGGCAGTCAACACTCTCCTTTTTCAGTCAACACAGAATACTTTGTAGTAGGGTGTGAACCGCACGAAAACAATTTCATCTCCAACTGTTTACTACAAGCCTTAGGCGACAACTTTATTACATTCTATTTCAAAATTTCATTTTATATTTTTCAGGCCCTGTATAACGGATATTCCATCTTTGCAGTTCTCAACGATGTTGTTAATTAAACATTAAACTGTCAAACACCAAGCGGTCACCGGTGACCGCGACCTATTGTTCTTTAATTGTGTCTATAAAACCGGTACTCGACGAGTTAAACAATAGTGTAATCAAAATGCTTGTAGTTTTTCGCTTCGCTTGGCTTATTGAATCGTTATTTTTGTGATCCTGAATATAATGTGGAGAAAAATATTTGAAATAAATACTGTAACTTAATTTAGCTTTTTGAATTATTGTAATTAACATATACCGTTTCTGTTATCCAGTCGTTATTTTTTGTTGTCTTTAATGTATGTAGTGTTAATTAAAGTATTAAATTTTAATTAATTAATTGAAAAACAAGTTAAATTAAAAAAAGAAAAGTTGTAACCTAATTTTGTTTTTGCAATATTGTAATTAAGGTTCAATTTGTAACACATTTTCAAAAATGATTTCATATTTTTATGATAATTATGTATCAATATTGAAATAAACAGCTTTACTGCATATTAAAATTTATTTATTTTGTTTTACTTAATTAAACATGTATGTATTATAATGAAATTACGATTCATTTTCCTTAATTAAAATTGTTATGAATTTCCAAATGAATCTTACTTAAATAGGTCAAGCTTTTCAATTGAGAATATAAAATGCGACGTAGTGACGTTTCGAAGTACCGTCAACGTCAAAACTGTAACAGGAATCGGGGAGATTGGGAAGGGGGAGGAGGAGCCTCACTCACACTACGAAACATGTCAAGGCAAGCGTTATTTCACGTCGTTTTTCTGTGAGGCCGTGGTATAGGTCCGATCAAGCCGGCTCATTTGTGCCGACATGACTCTCCCACTGTTAAACATGACATTAATAAATCCATTCCTTGTGTTTCTTACGTTTATCACTTTTGCTCCCAACTGTACGTTGAGACGTGATTTTCTTTTCCAGCGAATTTTCTTCGTCTAATTCCACTTGAATACTGTTTAATGAACACTACAGATATACAAATATATTTGCACTAATTAGACAGACTCAATGCTTACTTACGACACTTGAAAAGGCCGGAGATTATACAAGGAAGAAGCGGTTTATACAAATGAGACGAAATGTGGATAGATAATTCTTTTATAAACCACTAGCTTCTGCCCGCGACTTCATAGTTCCCGTAGGATTTACAGGATTTTTTCTGTCTTAAAAACCTGACAATAACAAACACAATAAAAAAAAGATCAGTCAAATCGATCTAGCCGTTCTCAAGTTATGGCGTGACAACGGGATTCCTTCCCCAATCTCCGCCATCCCTGAATCCCCAGCGATCCTCAAACTCCTAATCCCCAAAAGGCCGGTAACGCACTTGTGGTCCAGGTGTCCATATGGGCGACGCCAATTGCTTACCATCAAGTGATCCGTCTGCGCGTTTACCGGATTATGCCATAAAAAACGGGAAACGGGTTTCATTTGTATATATACAGATGTTTAAAAACCGACTACAATCTCCCCTTTTTTTTTGAAGCCGTTTAATTAATAATTATACTAATACTTTCTACTGAGTGTAACAGACACTTCTCTGAAAACAGCATCAAAATCGGTTTTCGGTTAGGGAACCGCATCAAAAATCGGTACAGTCAATCGCGAGATAATCGTGCAACGTAAATACATACAAACCGGAAAACTATGAACCTCCCTTTTTTGGAGTCGGTTAAAAAGGCTAAGGGACTAGTATTTATATACTCTTTTTGTGCGATAGTAAATTGGGTTATAAGTACCACTTTACTAGACATTTCTATCCTAGGTATGTAAGTAAGATATACGAAGTACGTACAACATCTCGTCAGTTGAAAACACTATAGTGAACGACTACTGAAGTCGGTCCTCGACATTTATCCTTGAACTTTTTTTAGAATTCTTAGGAATGGTCTAGAATCTTTTCCTGGTTTCTTTTATAATGTAGCAATGATTAGTAGGCGAAATATAATTCAATTACTACCTTTAAACATTAACGTATAAAATAAATCAAATGTGTAACTACTCGGTTGTGCTTTTTTATCTCTTCATTTATTTTGTTAAATTATTATTTTTGTTTCATTAATTAATTTCATCTAAACCGTTAATATCTAATTGGTGGCTTGTTCGTTCGGCTGGCACTTAAGGGGCCAGTAGAATACCAGCGCAAGGCTCTGTCTTGCACATGCTGAACTGGTCCCATTTCACCGCAGATTTGGAACATGAACATGATCAGTACCTACTAACTAATACAATGACTTATTTGTACATGTTACTTGATTTTTGGTGTGAAATAAAGATTTTTTCTTTCATTCTTTCAAATACAAGACTAATAAATAAAAGTATGGCATTTTCTCCAATTTGAACTCTACCACACATAAAAACACGAATCATAATACAAATTCAACAAAGCCACTTTTTCTATGAAAAAATACACAATGTGTCGCTGCTAAGGCTCAAAGGTTGACGATCTCAACTAAGCGAAGTTATTAAACTTATTGTTGGGGAAAATATTTGAGAAAAGTGTTTGTTTATGTATCATTAAAGGGGAATAATAAGGGGAGACACAGAGTACATAAGAGTAAACCGTATGACAATGTCAGTAAGTTCATAGACTTTTAAAAGTTGTTACTGATAGAGTGATTAGGTATTGTAGGCTAGACTGTGTCATACTAAATTATTATTATACTCACATAGCTCATAGGCATACTCACGCAAATGTTTGACGAGGAACTCGACTAGTTTGAAGCCATGCTAAAGAAATAGTAACAGCGTGACAGTCACCGTGTCGTGTGTCGCATAATGCTGCTCGTGAATATGAACAGAGCCTCATGCTAGAGAGCATGGCTTGAAACTATGAACTTCTTAGTCAAATAATTACGTTATGCCGAAAACATACCTAATAATTAATTTAGACTGTGTCAATAAAAACACTGCTTACTGCTTTTTATTTTCCAACACATTTACTAAAAGGTACCCAAAAATTATTTATTATTAATCGCTATGATTTGATTTCAATTTTAATAATATTTATTGACAAACCTTAGGTACATTACAAATGAGAAGGTTTACGTAATAAAAAAATTACGATGAAATACGGTGTATAATTACAAAATGGCAATAATATTCTTATGTAGTATTTCAGAACATACGAAATTTGTTTTTTATTTTGTCCACATTTTTTTTTATTGCGAAACAAAATGTATCTTTGTTACATCCCATCATCATCTAAATAAAACAAACAAAACAACAATAAAACAAAAAAAAAACAAACTTTCTTTTTAAAAAAGTTAAATTGCTATACTGACATTTAGCTACACTGTGTCGCAAACATTTTTCCTTCATAAAGTTGGCTCAAAAATACGACATTTGGACCTTTTCGTCCAATGGTAATGTAAAAAGCTCTTGGCTCGAGACCTGCCGTAATTTTCTGATAAAATACAGGCCTAAAGTTTCTTATTTTTACACTAAAGTGTGTTTGTGTTAAATATTTTTAGTTGTATTATAAATTCTATCACGTTTTGTTTTTTTTAAAACCTTACCCCATATTAGGATTTTCTCCTGTGTCGTGGGTGCGTTTACAAACATACAAGTTCACATACAAATCACACCCAGACCCGGAACAACAATCAGTGGAGCCCACAAATAATTGTTCCGTGCGGAAACCGAACCGAAACGAACACGTTGCGCGGCAGCCAGTTACCCAGCCACCGCATCAACCGTGCAGTCTGTATATTAACGTGTGAAATTAAATACTATTATTAAAACTATACCAATTTGTAAATAACTAAGATAAATATAATATTACAAGCATTCCATAACGTTCGAACAGCACCGTATTGTACCTGGCTGCGACGTGTCATGATATCGATTTGCACACGGAACAATGGGGATGATGACAGGGTATGAAAATTAAAAATATAATTAGTCCGTAAGTTAGGTAATGAAAAAATATTAGACACGTATTTTTTTATTTTGTCGTATAATAAAACAATACTTAGATAAAACGAATCAAAGTTTAGGAGTGGGGGCTAAAACGTCATTTCTTAGTATAAAATGTACTGAGAAGTGACGTCACGCGACATTTCAAATCAATATATCTTCGAAACTATTCGTTTCTGTGAGAAAATAAAAAATACGTGTCTAATGTTTTTAAATAATCTACCAGACGGACATTAAAATAAAAATTAGTCGTCTACCCTATTCTTTGTATCATATAAAATTAGTTGTTACGGATGTTGTGGTAATGTCGTGGTGGCCCGGAGGTTTAAGACGCCCGGTTCTCAAGCATAAGAGTGTGGTTTTCAAACCTACCAACGGCAAGTATCAATGTGACTTTTTCCAAGTTACATGTACTTTCTATTTCTACGATTATCTAGACACCACTGACAAGCGGTGAAGGAAAACATCGTGAGGAAACCTACGCGTATTATTTCTAATTATAAGTTTGAAATTGTCAACCCGCATTGAGCAAGCGTGGTGATTAATGCTTAAACCTTCCACGTGTGAGAAGAGGCTTTACTACGCAGTGGACATTTAAAGGCTGTTGATGATGATTGAGCAAGCGTGGTGATTAATGCTCAAACTTTCTCCGTGTGAGAAGAGGCCTTTGATCAGCATAACCACTTTAGCCACTTATAGGCTGTTGATAATGATGAATTGTTACAGATCCAGGTTTGAATATCACAATATTTCGTGAAATTATGACTGTTTTTAAACACCCTTTGTATTTTTCTTGTAAAACAAAAATACAAAGTAAGTTATCATTTCATTTCTCTTACGGAACAAGACAGAAGATACTTACAAAGTTAGTTGAACTGCTAGTTTTTCATACAACTTTTAAACTAATACTTCGAGTAATAAGTTAGACGAGTACTATTTATTTTACTCTCCTACAACTTGCTTTAGTACTCTGTACCTCTGTATAATGTTATTAGTGTACATTTTCTAGTTAACCACACATTTTTACCTTTTTATAATCAACATAATTACATACGCACGACATTAAAAGCTACTACAGAAAACATAA